CTAATGCAACATGCCCTCTCCTTGCTCAGCTCCTGTAGATTCCAGGCTGTGGCTTCCTTTGCAGTGTCAATCCGTCTCTGTTTGGCCCTGCCCCCTCCTCCCGCCTGCGACTTTCTCTCTGTGACTTTCTTCTCCAAGAAGTCCTGCCTTGTTCTGATGTGCCCAAAGTATGACAACCGCAGATTTGTCATTTTTTGCTTCTAGGTAGCTTTGGTTTAAATCTGCTGTTCACTCAGATCAGCAGGTCTAGCATCTTAGTTTACTTTTGATGGGAAAAGTTTGAGCTTAGAGGTAGAGCTGCCATTTTGCAGGTGGAAGGTTCAAACTTCGATTCTGAAGGTTCAAACTTTGATTTCCAGAATCCTGGGAATGAATCCAGCCTAAAAGGTGGGACATAAATAATGAATGAATAAATCTCTGGGGAATTGCTGTCAGTCTGTGCAAACAGCACTGAACTAGATGGCCAGTGGTTTGAGTCACAGAATCCTAGAATAGTAGAGTTGGAAGGGGCCATTGGGTTCAACCCCTCTGTTGCAGGACACCAGTTTGCACCGCCCCACTCAGCCGTCTTCGGATGCTGTGATAAGGCACAACTACTCTCGTGTAAAAGATGTGGCACAAAAGGAAAAGTGATGGGGAGGGAGGAGGGCAAAAGCAAACTGCAGGCCCTGGCCCTTTGTTTCAAAATTTTGATGGGAGTATTCTCTGGCTGAAAAGGGTAAACTGCGGGGCACTGCGGTCTCTTGCTCAGTGCGTGGTTTACTTGAGGGTGCAGCCGCTTTGCTCCCTGGAGTATGGAGGACAGCAGGTGAGGCTACCATGTAGGGAGCATCTCCCTCGATTTCCTGCATTCAGTTTCCAAGAAGCCTTGACCCTGTTCGGGGGCTGTCTGGAAGCTGTTTTTGTTTTTTGGGGCAGAACAAGGGCACATGATCCAAAGCACGCTGTGTGCAGGGGGCACAGTCCATCAGGCAGTTCCTCTGGGTAAGCTCACCGAGTGCTGGCATTCATTTCGTTGGGGTACTTCCATGGAGCGTGGCCACTGGGGAGGATTCAGCCAGCTCTTTTCCAGCACCTGTCCTGTCTCAATCTCCTTTCCTTTCTTACACATGATGTTGTGCGCAGTTTTAAAAAATAAACACCACTAAGGGATGAAGTGCTGATCAACACGGATGCAGTGCTTACGAGAAGGAGCATCAAGTGTTTACTGCCAGTTCCTTGGGCTGCTTTTGGAACACCCTGGTATTTTTCCTTGGCATGGAAAATGATGCGTTGCTTCTTTTGATGAAAAGCCGCATTGGGCATAAAACATAAAATGAAAAATTCAAAGAAGTGGGGCTGAGGCTTGGAATGGAAGATCTGTGTTTTAGCTTTATATTTTTTTGCTACTGTTGGCTTTGGCTGCTGGATAAGTGAATTTTATCGAACTTTAGGCAGTTGGTATGGTTATTTTAAAAATCCAGTATAAATTGTGTTTCAGATGCCCCCTTGAACACAAACAGTGGAAAAGCAAGGCAAAATTATTTGAAAGTCAAATAAAAGTTTCAAAGAGTAGAATGCTGTTCCATTTGGACCCCTGCCTAGGATTGCATGGAATTAACCAGGGGTGAAGGGAATGCAGTCTTCATGTGGTCAGACATATTATTAATCATGTCATTGTCATTAATGAGTTGGTTATTTATTAATAATAGTCTTGTTAAACACTTATGATACCAACCACCTCAGTAGAATTGATAGAATTCATCTATCCAACTGCCAACACTTGAGAGCAGCAAATTAAAACACAGGCCTTGCTTCAAAATGTGTTTATTTAAAAATGAAAATAAGGATTTTGAGGATGGATGTAAATGCATAAATATAGTATTATATTTACAAAGCACCTATGGTTTCTTAGCAGAGTCTTGGGATTAAAATGGACAACAGTGTTAGTGGTGTACAGTCTAATGGATGTGACAAAAAAAGGGAAGAGGAAAAAGTAATTAAGATTAGAGGCCAGTTTTGGAAATTATATAATTGTTCCTATCATACTGGCTGGCAGTGACAAGCCTCTTTATCTCATCTATTCCAGGACTGAGCATGGAAGCAAATGGGGCACCTTCTTGGAAGCCAAATTCCAGGGCCTCCTGCCTCAGTTTCCCCTGTTCCAGCTGGTTACTTGCTGTTACCTCTTCCCTCCCCACACTGTCTCTATTCTTCTGCTGTGTCTTTCTCCCTCTGAGCCACCTCTTATAGCTTCTGAAGAGGCCCATGGTGATGCCATATAAAGGATGTGACATCTCTTGCATTCAAACTGGGGCAGGGGGTTGGCATCTCATCGGTGCAAATTCCAGCTAATTCGCACTCGTGCCATGTTGCTGACTTTCTTTTGTCTGTTCTGAGTCTCCAGGCAGTCGCTGTCACTGTGAAAGGGAGAACGTGAGGAAATGTGAGACGTAAAAGCAGGTGGGCAGGCAATTGGCACCCCAAGGGAAGCGCTTGGACCCTTTGGAGTGGGACAACACTGAGCGAAAGCTGACAAATGAATAAAGCATTTCTCTGGGGAAAGCAGTGAGGGTGTGGGGCAAGGCTATTCCCCGTGTGACTGAAGTTCCACAGTCCGGCTGTATTTATTAATTTATGATTTACTTATTTCATTTTATGCCGCCTGATAGTCGAGGTTCTCTGGTTGGTTAACAACAATTTAAAAACACACACAAACAAAAAATTGCAGCAGCTGCAAAGAAAACCTTCCTCTTGAATGCTCCCCTCAAACACTCAGCATTGTGATCAGGAACTCTGTGCATGCTTGAGGGCCTGTTGTCTTGGTTGAGCCATCTCCAGCCTTCAAAGTAGACCTTCCTGGGGAATCGTAGGAACTTCATGCTTATGTTTATCTTCCTGCTATGAAAGTACTCGGAATCCAGTGACTCAATTCTCCCTTTTGGACCCTCCCTGATAGATATTTATTTATTTATTTATTTATTTTCCGATTTAGATCCAGCCTTTTTCCTACAAAGAACTCAAGGCAGCTTGCATCATTCTTCTCCTCCATCTTATCCCCACAACAACAACCCTGTGAGGTAGGCTGGGCTGAGAGGCTGTGACTGGCCCAAAGCCACCCAGTTGGCTCCATGGCTGAGCAGGGACTAGAACCCAGATCCTCTGAGTCCCAGTCCCATGCTCTTAACCACTACACCACACTGGCTCTCATATGCAGGGCTTAAGTTGTTGGGGTAGAAGGAAAGCACTCTGTATGTGCTCAGAGGCTCTCTTCTTCCAGTAGTCCATTCTGAAACCTACCAGCCTGGTTTTGTACGGTAAAATTCAGCCCAGGGAAACATACTGGTGTTTTTGTTTTTAACCACTCCCTTTCAGCTAGGTAGGTGAGGGCTGCCCTGGAAAATGAGCGGACATTTAAGCTTTACGCTCTTTGGGGCAGCAACCCAGCTGCTGCCTCAATTGGTTCTCATTACATAGTCAAATCACATTCTGGAGCCAGACTTCTATCTTGCAGTCTCGGCCAGACGAAGGGGTGCCCTTGTCCCAGAAAGCACCAGGTCGTGGTTGAGTTTCACGCCCTCCTTCCCAGCCCTGGAGGTGCTGGCTCCCTGGGACAGCGAGCTGGAGGGTGGAAAGCAGCCTGCTTCCCCTGCTGCATCTCCAGGTTTCCTTTTACTGTACCGAAACTAGGGATGACTGAAAACGAGACCACTGGTTTGCCCTTCCTGGGGGCAGGGTGTGTTTGCTGGGCTCCTAAAATCTTCGGGCCCCAAGCTCATCAGATGCAGATCTGCCTGAAATCAGCACCTGCAAACTTATATCAATATATTGTGCAGCATGTTTCAAAGTAACGACTAGGTTTTCTTTAAATTTTGCAGGGAGCCCATGAATTTCTCATCTCTGATTAAATTTGCACTCTCCCTCATATCACCCCGACTTGGTTGCTCCTCCTTGATTATGATTCATTTGCAATTTCTCTTGAGTCCCTTCTTTCTCCTTCATCTATTCCTTCAGGAGGAGTAATTGCTCCTGTCTGGTGAAATTAAATTTAAAAGCAAAGGTTCCACGGGTGTTCTAAGAGTTATTTCTTAGGCTTAATGGCAGTGTGGCACAGGGCATGTTTGGGAGGGTGGGCCCTGCAAGCAGAAAACGAAGCTGGGGGGAGTCGATTCGGGGGCCAAGAGAAATGGATTTGGGGCCATTAATGTAGGTCTAGCAGTGTCTCATCGCACAACCCACATCTTCCAGGGCTGTGGGGAGGGCTCTTCTTTCCATCAGGTGTTGTTCCTGGGTTTCGCTCTCCACCTGAGATTCTCCTGCAGAAGCAACTGCAGACAAGCCAGCCGGAGAGCTGGAGCTGGTTCCCCACCTGGCCTTGACACCACCAACACGCAGCCTAACCCAGCGGTTCCCAAACTTTTCCAGCCATGGAACCTTTCTCAAGACAATTTTCCCCCACAGAACCTTAACTCTATCCTCGTTTTTCACTAAGTATTGTGAACCCACAACGTTCTTCCCTCTTCCATCTGCTCCTATTGCTTGAGTGCTTTGCATAACGTAGTAGATTTGGAAATAAGAGAAAGCATTTTAAATATTCCGAATGAATAAAGTGATTATATGGTCATATCCCAAATGACAGCTTTCGATTATTGCCAACACGACACAGTCGAGTCCTAGGAACCAAATGACACGATGTGTTTTCTCTTCTGCTGCTTGGATGCCAACTGACAACCACAAAGAATTGGCCTCATGGGTTTCATTTTGAAATCCGATTAAAATTTGCTTTTTAAGGTTTTTCACAGAACCTGCATGAGTCGCTTGCGGAACCCTAGGGTGCCACGGAACGCGGTTTGGGAGCCGCTGGCCTGGCCTACCTCTCAGGGCTGCTGGGAGGCTGAAAGAGGGAGGAGGAGCAGATCGGCCGCCCCCAGAGGCTGTTCCCCCGTGTTGCCTCGAGCACGGAAGTCAGCGACGTTCTCCGAGGAGATGGGTCAGCTGCTTAGTATGTGTTCTTCTTCCAGGGAGCCGGAGTGCCGCCCCCGCCCTCTCTGCCATGGGGTAGTCTTTGGGGTGCGAGCGGCCTGCGTGGGGCTGCCCCACCTCCCTCCCGCGGGTGCTGGAGCATGAAGGCTGCGTGACCAGACGGGCCGAGCTGCTGGAGCCGCGGCAATGGATGACGCCTCCACCCTGGACTACGGGCTCCTGTCCCCAGGACAGGCAGGGCCCGGGCCTGGCGCCCTCGGCATGGACGCAGAGCAGAAGACGGTCTTCGCCTTCGTCATCTTCCTCCTGATCTTCCTGGTGATGCTGATGGTGCGCTGCTTCCGGATCTTGCTGGACCCGTACAGCCGGATGCCCGCCTCGTCCTGGACCGACCACAAGGAGGGGCTGGAGCGCGGGCAGTTTGATTACGCACTGGTGTAGTGGCCCGGCCCGGCCCGTGGTGCCAGCCGCGTGCCGCACAGGAGCCCAGGAGGTGGGGGGAGCTGTGGGGCCAGCCACTCTGCACCCGGGGGGGGGGGGGGCCGCCGGGGGCTCGCCGTCCTTGGGGGAGGGGAGGCACAGGGATGGAGCCCCCCTTTGGCTGTAACCCGAAACGTCTTGAGTCAGGGTGAGCTGTACTCTGCGGGGGAGGGGAATTGCAGTGCTGTGTCGGTGGGGGAGGGGGAGGAAGAACAAATGCTTATGCTGTGATGCGTGGGAGGGCTCTGAGGCCCATGGGGGCTGGATCAGGACCAAACCTTGAACTGCTTTTTGCTGGGCAGCCTCTGAGTTCAGGGCTGGGAACTCTGCCGTGCAGCCATCAATGCTTCTCTCATCTGCCAGTGATCTGAGTTCTGCAAGTTCGTAAAAGTCAACGCCATGTGGAAGCCTTTGCAAGCTCAGAAGCACTCTACTTGCATAGCCATGTTTGTTTTATCTTGTTGAAAAATGGCTTCTGGAGTGGCTGGCAGTGATTGTGATAGAAAAAACATGACATAAAAGGAAAAGGCACCTGGCGGGAGGAGGAAAAAACAGTAACGTTCGGGATGCTCTTCTGAGATTCAGTATTCTTACCAGTGGTTTTTTTGGCAGGGAAGCAGGGCTCTTGTGGGAGGGGCTGAGCCACTTTTGGACTTTACTTTGATGTTCTTCCTGGGAGCATGCCTGGCCACAGTGCTAGCTCTTAAGGAAAAAGACCGCATGTCTCCAGTTTGGCTCTTAATCACAGCCTGCAAACTCTCTAGATAGTCCTCACAGACTCCCCATTTTCCTTCTGCTGCAGGTATGATTCCTAACATAGGCCTACCTTGCAAGGATGTTGTGGAAAGGTTACCAAAGTGATGCCAGGGGAGGGCTTTGTTACTCTGAAGGGTGCCCCCTAAATGTGGGCATCCATTCCATGTTCTCTTCAACCTTCAGGGCATCATCTGTTTCACCTTCCAAAGCTGAGCCCAGCACTGAAACTAGATCCTGGAGCATAAGCCCCGTTAGTAAAGCGTCCCCCTACCCACAGGTTGCCTCAGACTTGTAAGAATTTCCCCCAACCCTGCACGGGATCGTGTCTTAAGAAAGATTTGGTTAGGTAGCTGGTCCTGCACGCAGCCACTTTTCTGGATGACAAAATACGATTCCTGAAAATGCCCATGACTTTATGCACCCGCTGCTCTGTTCCCACGTCACTTGGCTTACCTCTTTGGGCTCACGCATACAGCACTCCTGCCAAATGTTTCAGCATCAGCATTGGAAATAGACTGATAATCGCTAGCCTTGTCCAATTTTATTAGGTTGTCATTGCAAAGCAGTCCTTCACTTCACAGGGGCCAGTGGGTCTTGCTGCATTCTGTGTCCTCCGTGCTCTTGTGGCCTGCTGCTGAGAGCCTCAAAGGCAAGCAGGTTCAGTGGGAGGAGCTTTTCCGTGGGTCTGGGCCGACTTGTGTCGGGGTTCTCTGTGCACTTGTGTAGGGAAAGCAGGGGCGGGGGGAGTGCCAGGCAATCGCTTTATGGGAGCGGGCCTAGATAGCTTGGCAGAGTGGCCTGTGCGGAGGCACGGCTACTTGCGAGTAGCGCTCATTGCATGGACTGGGATGGATGCCCGAGCTTACTGCCTTGCTTAGATCAAGCCGGCCTTCCCCTCTGGGTGGCTTGGGCATCTCCCATGATGCTGGCTGGGGATGATGCCAGGTGTAGTGAAAATGCCAACATGGAAGGTAGTGAACTGGGAAAGATGCTAGCAGGCGGTTCATAGATTTTAGGTTGCATGCCGGTTTGGAAAATTTGGCTCTTTCCTGTGGATACTTGGGTTTGTGTGAATGCCCATGGAATTCTGTACAACCCCAGGGGATGGGGAGCAGCATCCTGAATCCACCCCCTGGCCCATCCTTGGAAGTGGCTGTTTGCATCACAAGGGGAACCAAGCCAGGAAAAGCCACATCCTCTCCTAGGATGTCTCTCTGGCCTGCCCTTTCTGCCTTCGGTACTGGAACCCTCCCCCATCCCCACTTTTGGCTGAAAGAGGCTTCCCCCACCTTATGCAGACCTAGGTATTAGCGTTGTATAGGGTGTTCTTGGCTGAGACAGTGGGCTTCTGGCCCACCCACACAGCTCCCTCCCCATTAGGAGAAGGATTGTTGTCTCCAGTTGTGCTCTGTTTCCCTGTTACTCCTTAGATTTGGGGCTTTTCCCGGTGCCCTTAACATTTCCCCTTCTTGAACCTTTGTTGCCACCTGAGCCTGTAAGAGAAGGCTGGGTGCTTGTCTCACCCTGCTAGCTGTGTGGGCCAGGGCTGATGGGACTTTATTGATTGATTGATTGATTTCTATGCCACCCCATTCGCCGAAGCCTCGGGGCGGCTCACAACTTGCAGGCCAACACATCTGGGCTGCCACAGATTGCTCACTGCTAACCGACTTCTGGGGAAATTGCCGGTGCCGTTCTGTTTGTTTCTAAGTGACACTTTGATTTTAAAAAAATACAGGAAAAATGGTAAAATCCTTGAGCTGGAGAAAACCTCAGAAGGTCTTGTATTCCAGTGCCCAGGTCAGGCAGGAAACCCAGTTCCAGCATCCCCAGCAGATGAGCCATTGGCCTCTGCCCAGCCATGTTGTTCAGGACGGAAAGTCTTCCCAGGAGCTCCTCTCCCAACAAGGCGGAATGTCTTGCGTCCTGAACGCCGTCTCCCTTTGGCCCCTGCGGGTTCCTTGGTGGGCCTTCATTCGGTGGGGGTCTTCGTGATTTGTTTTGTTTGTTGTTTTGCAGGGTGGCCTCCTGCAGCAAGGCAGAGCAGCAGTGGGAAGGGGGGTAATGGCCGAGTGAGGGGTGGGCAGCTCCAGGGCTTCCTATTTGGCGGAAATGCGGCTTTGAGCACTCCTGTTTTTAAAGCCATTCTGATGGTTTGAAGCCAAGAGGCCGGGAATTACGGACACTTGCATTCCGAAGGTCCTTCGCTTTGGTTCTGGGGATTGTCTGGAAGGGCTAAGAAAAGACCCCACCTGGAACCTAGGACAACAGTGCTGGCCACCACTGGAGGAATGCTGCCTGCAGCCCGGGACCCGATCCGGCACTGGGAGGACCAGGCACCCCAAGCCCAGTTCTTGCAGGGGAGCCTGGGGAAGTGGAGGCCCTCCTCAGCCAGGACATACGGCCCTGCGGGAGAGGGGACAGCCCTTTTGCGCCGCAGCCAGCCAGGTCCCCTTTGCTTCCTGCAGAAAGGTGCAGAGCCTATTGAAAGAGGCACAGGAAGTCACAGGAGGGGTGGGGCAGCCCCCCCACTTGACCTCCCCCGGCCTTCTGGCTTGGCTTCAGAGGGAACAAGCAGCCCCTCGAGAAAAGAGGAGGTCCCCTTGGAGCAGGCAGTTCTGCCCAGGAAGTGCCACCTGTGCAAAGCAGTTTCCTGCAAAAGTATCATCCTCAATCTAATAATAATAAATCCTGTCGTAGCTCTTCTCCTTTAGCAGAGTACCCATGTGGCTTTCCTGCTCCCCCCTGCCCACCTTTCTTGAGCCCCAGGGTGCTTCCGGGGCCATGCTGGCTTTTTGGACCCCCATGCTGGCTTTCCTGCAGCCAGTGGGGGCTGGGGAGCACACTTTGGGCCTGCGCATCCAAGGAGCTTCCGGTGGTGGCAGGGGACGGTTCAACACCACAGATAGCACTAGAAGCTTGGAGGAACACGTGCAGTGGGTGTGCCAGCCCACTGGGAAGCTGCCAGCTGCCCCCTGGTAGTTTTCGGGCACCCTTTCTCTTGCTTTCTGGCTCCACAGCAGGGCGGCAGCTGCTTGCCGCTAACTCGTCTTTCCAGCTTGCTTCAGAGTTGACTCCAGCGCGTCGCTCCGCACCCTGTGGTGTTCTTTGTGTTTGCCAGTGTGATTGACCCAGCGTGGAAGCCTCTGCCTGTTGGTCCCCAGGCAGGGGAAGGACTTTTGCCCCACAAGGGTCACCCCAAAGCTCAGGGAAGGTTACAGAAGATGAAGAAGAATCACTGCTGGCCAGAGGCCAGTTGTGTTGGGTGGCTTTGGTCCTGAGCAAGGCACCCCCCTTGGGTGGCCAGGAAGCCTCGGTAGTGGGAGAAAGGCCCAGTTTTGAGGGTGTGCTGAGGCAGCCCACATGCTGCAGGAAATGGGGGAGGCAGTGCCCCCTTTTCCAGTCTTGTTTGTAAGAGGGAGGCCAGAAACTTCCACCACCAAATAAAAGCTGCCTTTTGTTGCTACACCTGTGCTGTGTCGGCTCCTGTTGATCGTGTTTAACTGTTCAAAATGTTCCCTATATTGCATGCATGGAGCGCTTCCTTGGATGTGCACAGCTGCTTATTTGAGTTGTATCCCCCCCACCTTTTTTTGAAGAACTCACAGTGGCTTGCATCCTCCTCCTCTTGTCTCCACACCAACCCTGCACCAACCCTGGCTGAGAGTCTGACTAGCCCAGTGAGCTGGGAACTTGAACCTGGATCACTCACAGCTGACTTCGTGTCTGGGGACTTGGCTCTGGGGCCCAAACATCTTTCTCTGGGTTGTGTGCACAGCATTTTGCATCTACAATGAGGGAAGGCTGTCCTTGAGCACAGATCTGCTCTTGTATGGAACGATTTCTGGACGAAAGTGCTTTTGAGAAAGTGACAACGATGGCTCCAGGAACACCCCCTGCTACGTACCCACTCCTTTGGGGGGGGGGGGGTGCAACTTCATCCAGGACTGGAGCACACACCTCCTAGTCAAAGGATTCCCCCCACTCACGGAACAGCATTTCAGCCCTGAGTTGAGCTTCGGGTGATTAGTCCTCCTCTGATCCACTGTCCCAGCCGGGCACTGGCTTGGCCCATCCGCGGCTTCACCTGCTGGAGATGAAAAGGGGAAGCAGCTGCTTGTCATCCGCATGCTGAAGCCAACGGACGCCAAAGCTCCCGGGCTCAGCAGTCTCAAATAGTGCGAAATAGTGTGAGGGCCACCCTGACCCCCTGAGGAACGCCCTGCGGGAGAATCCGCGTGGCCAAGCC